GAGTGTGTGTGTGTGTGTGTGTGTGTGTGTGTGTGTGTGTGTGTGTAAGTATGTAAACCTCTTATAACTTTTGAATGGTTGAACCGATTTCATCGCGGTTGGTGCCATTCGAAAGGGCTTCACTAAACTTAGATTTCCTGAAAATTTGAACCGATTCAGACCGATAGATTTTGAGAAATTTAGAGAAATCTCCAAAAAAATAGGAAAAAAATTTTTTTCAGAAGTGGTTTTTTTGGAATAACTTTTAAACGGCTCTACCGATCGATTTCAAAAACTAATCAGCTCTCAACCTTAAAAAACCACGTCGATTGCCGCCAATCCGGTCAAAATCGATTGATTCGTTCAAGAGATATCGTGAACGAAAAAAAACCGAAAAAAGTGTTCTTTCGAAAGTACTCCGAAATTTCCAGTTTAACCAATTGAAACTTAAGAATTCTTTATGAGGCTTGAAAAACTGCGTAGAATGCTGCTAACCACGTGGAAATCGGTTCATTCATTCAAAAGTTATTGCGATTTGAAAATAAAAAAAAATAGTGTTTTATCAAACTTATATCAAACTTTTGAGCTCAAAGAGCTCAAAAGCATACAAAATCTATTTTTTTGAGCTCGGAGAGCTCTAAAACGTCATAAGTACACTTTCAAGCGTTTAGGTATAGAATTGGCGGGAAGTTGCAGGGATAGCCTTTAGGGTCAACCGTATTCTTAATTTTTTTTAATTTTTTTACCCAATCCAAGAATGGATGAATTTAAAAATAGTCGGCTATTTTATTCTCAAATAGCTATCACTTTTTTAAAAATTGATCTTCCGGAAACGTATCATATAGAAAATTTTTGTTTTCAAATGTATTTTCCAAAAAAAAAAAAATACCTAAAAATTTTCAAAGGTCAACTTTCAGCGAAGCTATGAACTTAAAAAAAATTTAATAAAATCGTTCCATCAATAATCTGCTATTTTTTAATATGAAAAGGCGTGTAGTTTCACTGCGAATGAACCTATTGACTTATTTCTTTTCTTTTAGTCTTTGTTTCATTACCCTTTACGAAAAAGCAATATGGAAAAAATTTGACAAAACATTCTTTTTATTTCTTTTCCTTACTTTGTAGAACCAATGACAATTTTTTGACAAAAACTACTTTTAATCATTATTAAAAGTATGAATGATTTATTATTCATCTTTTTTAAAAAAAACTTTCAGGGAGCCCACTTTGCCCCCAAAATTTTGAGTCCTTCTAAATTTTAGGGGGGCCCACTTTGCCCCCTCTTCTCCTATAATATGATTATGCTAGATATGTATTATATCCAAAAATTATAACTGCTATTATGATGAAGATGATGTAAGAGTTAGTTGAATATTGCAAGTTTGAGGTAATTGCCGATAGTTTTTGTATTTTATAAACGTATTGATTTAAGCGTTTTTATAATTTTTAGTTGTTGTCTTACCGTCTGGTTGCTGCATGCCAGGTGTAATGGCTCGTAAAAAATCATCTGGTGTCATGAAGATTTCATTACCTTCCGAACTCGAAATCAGTACTGTCGCAAAATAACGAAAAGTTTTGTCTGGAGTTGAGAACGAACGCAGTCTATTTTCGTACGCAATTATCTAAAAAAAAATTCTTAACTCTTTAAATCGATTGCTTATTCCAGTCAATTAATTATTATTAATTAATTTGTAATTTACCAATTTATTTACAATTTATCAATGGAATAATGGTTAGTTATTAATGAAAATTGAAAACAAAAGTAATTAAAGGCACTTATTACCTTGCGATCGCGAAATCCAACTCTTTGCTTCTTCTTTTTTTTCTTGAGTTCGGAGTCAGCCTGTTCTACGGACGTATTACTCTTTTCTTCATTTTCTTCCATCAACAATTTAACAGCGTCTACAGTAAATATTTTTTTTATTTGTTTGAAAATCCTAAAATATTCACAAAAATTTAATATTGTAACTAGCATGAAAATTAAAATATTATCAGTTCACTTGAATATGATTATGGTACTGAAATTAGCATGAAAATTAAGTTAGCCGATATTAAAATCTTTCATTTTTAACTTCCCGCTAAGTGAATTGAAAATTTTCAAAACTTGAGAAGTTATTGGTTTTACCCCGTTTTTCGAAATTCTAATTCTCATCAAATCTTGACGTTTTGAAGTCCTAAGAAGCTTCCCTGAATGTTTTCGCGATGGTGTGTGTGTGTGTGTGTGTTTTTTTTTTTATTTTTTTTCCCATTAGGGGGAAATCTTTTTTACGGATTCTAGGCGTAGTTGTTTAGCCTGGATATGTGGCGACTCGACGCAGCGTCATACTAAAACTTGACGCTGACGCCCCTACCCACTAAACCCTAAACCCCTTTCCTCTTTCCTCTATTCCCTCATGGAAACCGCCGTTAGGCATTACTTCGTGAGGGGAGGATCTAGCTACTGCTCTTCCTTCTGGTGGCTAAGGTGTTAACTACCTTCCTTCTATCTTCTGCTATTTGCTCTTCTTCTTTCGGTGGAACGCAAGCCTTTAAGGACTTCTGTTGCAAACGTGTTTGCGGCGTTCCAGGCAGCCTCTGATGACAGCATTGCTTCTACTATTGTCTCTGGTTGGATTTTCTTCTT